ATACAGTGATGAGCTATTTGGGCGCTTTTGTGTAGTTATTTGTTTTTTGGGGAATACGACATCTAGGAGGCTTTGAACCCGTCCGTGGCGAGTATATGTGATGATAATAGGGGATATCATAGCTAGTGGAGGAAGAGGCCGTCGAGACAGTGATTTGGTCAGACCACCTGTGCAATTCTAAGGTGCGATGTGGTAAGCTGCAAGCTATCCGGGCCCAGTCAGGGCATCGGACGACATTGATAGGGTATATACGATAATTACCTGATCTCAACCCCGATTCTATGGTGCCTCGTTCCTGCGCGATGCTTGTTGATCAGGAAGCGCTCATCTGGCGTGCAGTTGAGGTGAAGTCCGACAAAGTCTTGACAAGGAGGCACCCAATGTGGCCGGCCATCATTCATGCCCGTGCAAGCTACCTAATGGAACATAGTATCATTCCATATCACCTTCACACTGATGACTAGGCTTGCACTGAATCTCCATGTCAAGTCGAGGACATGGGTAGAGAAGCTGAAGTAGTATTGCAGAAAATCTTGTTCGTCGAATTACTTCGGCGCAGTAGTATGATCATCTACTGACCTTGCAGTATAATCAAGTCTCTCTCGGCTGTTTATTGCATATGGTACGCTGTGCAGTGAGATCTCATATGCGCCTGTCAATTCCGCAAGTCTGGATATCCCAGTGTCCAGAGCGTATGCTGGTGTAGTTGGCACAAACAACCGACGCCTTGATTCGGCCTATATACGTTGCCGACGGGCCGCACTTGTCTTCGCGCCACTTTTGTCTCTATTCGGATGGAATTCTACGCAGGCTCAGGGCTTCGAGCTATCACGACAGGGTCTTTAGGCTGTGCCATAGGGCACGTCGGTGGTTCAGCGACGACGATGCGCGTGTCCACATCCCGTGAACCACGCACGAACACATTGCGCATTTCTAGCTGCATTTACTCGCAATACTACATGATATACCAAGTGTCTAACCATAGCCGTGCGTTTCATGTTCTAGGTCTTGTGCTAGGTTAGCATCGAGGTATGCTAGTCGTGAACTTTACAATTTGCCGCAGCGCGTGCTGCTTGCTCGGGGATGATTGCGAGGCTGAGATGACACTGTCCTGCTGTGCTTAGAGACAGTTCGAGCAGGTAGTTCTCTCTCTTGTTGTACTCTCCTGATCCGTTGGCGACTTTGGGCCTGTGACCCCATTTGGGTGACCAGTTGGTGGAACACTTCTTGAACAACCTTGCAGGTCAAGAGACCGGACCATACGCGCTTGTGGCTCGTATTCTCCCACTCTCAATCATCTCAGCTGCTGTTGAGTTTTTTGCGAGACTCCTACGCTGGTTTCCAGTTTGGTACCCCCTTGGCCAGCGTGTACTGCATGCGACCCTTTGGTTCGTGGGATACTGATTCGCCCGATGTTTGAAATTATTAGCTTGTATGGAGTAAACTGTGCGTCGAGTAAGAATTTCCTATCAAATTCGATGTGTTTGGTGTGGCGTTGCTGAATAGTCGATTTTATATATGTTTTATAAGGGATATTGGATCTCGCAACAAACAAGTAGTATCGAGAAATGGCACTCAACGTGTGTTTTCACCACAACACATCCAAAGCCCAATAGAAATGCAAGATGGAAAACACTTCCGAAGCATTTGACACTCCAACGGAGAGACGGTGATAAGTGTAGGTTTGGACGGAAAGAGCCCTGCCGGCCTTAGATGACGCGTTCGGCTTCACCAGCAACTTAGTAGCCTCAGGCCCAAGAACGATCAAGATGGTCAACGGACCACGAAGGAAAGACCCCACGAGAGTAAACGAGGCATCAGAAGCATGAGTTTACATCAAATGATGCCGGTGAAAAAACTAGGTAAATGAACTCGATCATATCGGTAATGGCAGATTGTACACCCACCTAGACACGGAACTTTCCAGGACAGGAGGATTATGATTACCAGGAAGAGACATACATCATTGCGCACGCGCAATGGAAAACACCGGGAGGAGGACAGCAAGTTCTACGATGCTCTAGGTAGATTGCGTTATTGAATTGTTCATTATCAACGAATGACTTGAATCTGCCATGTGCAGAACCCACATACCATAGCCCATCCAAGTAAGAACGCTGAAGGTTAGCAGCCTGGCGTCAGCACGGCTTCAGCAGCAGCCTGAACGAATACATTAAAGACCAACATACAACAAGGACCAGTGCAGACAGTTGCCAGCAGACATACGAGGCTGGGTCACATACCCGAACAGTGGAGAGCAACGTTTCACATCCATAAGATTCAGACGCGGCACACAGCATTCACCCGCGAAGACGCAGAAGGGAACCGAGAAAAATTGATCAAAACGTGCCTCGGCGAGGGATTATGTCTCAAGCCAACCAAGCCATCCGTATAGAACCCCATTTCCCGTATGGTACAGTAGAACACCCAAAACCAGCCAAACCCATGATCATTCGTGACAAAACACTCCACTCCCAAAGTCCGCATGGGCCACCGCGTCGTGGGTTGGATCGCGTCATGGCCCAAGAAAGATTCGTAACAGACATGCAGAAATACGACGCTTAACCACCGAAACCGTACAAGGTGCGGCCTTGGCGCTTCAACGCGTAGACAACATCAAGAGAAGTGACAGTCTTGCGCTTGGCGTGCTCAGTGTAGGTGACAGCATCACGAATGACACCCTCGAGGAAGGACTTGAGGACACCACGGGTCTCCTCGTAGATCACTGAAGGAACGGCATGTTAGTCCCTCGCGAGCCGAGACGAGCTTGGGGCTAAAACTTACTGGCAGAAATACGCTTGACACCACCACGACGAGCGAGACGACGGATAGCAGGCTTGGTGATACCCTGAATGTTGTCACGCAAAATCTTGCGGTGACGCTTGGCACCGCCCTTGCCGAGGCCCTTACCGCCCTTGCCGCCTGATCACATCAAGTTAGTATACCGGGGAAGATAGAAGTACGATGCGGGATCGGTACGTACGTCCAGTCATTGTGGATTGTGATGAAGTTGAAGTGATTTAAGGTTGGGATATGATGAGGCTCTTCCGAGGGAATGGCGTGTAAGATTGTTTTGGCAGAGATGACGTGGGGCTGAATAGTAAGAGGGAACACGATTGTAGTCGCGCTGAGGGGGGCGGGCATTTATATCAAATGTCCGTGGGCCAAGTCTGATTCGGGATCAGCCAGAGAAAAGCGGGCACGTCCATCACACTGGATCACACCCTGTCGCGACGCGAGGCGAAAAATAAAACAACAACGCCATGAACGTACAACTGCACGGACCACACTAGCTTTCCCGGTACTTCATCAATCTCAGGCTCTCTCAGCTTATTCCCAATTGGAGCATGAGATGGATATGTACGATTAAATGTAGCCAACCAGAAAGCGTCCCTCGTCTGTCCCGCTCCCTTCCTCCTCCTTCTCTCACCGTTCCTTGCAAGTTGCCACTTTGCTTTTGAAGTTCACCGTGCCAGACCTTAGGCGCGCCGCGTGCCATCAGAACCGTGTTTCTGGCTTCGGTTCCATCTGCAAAGTGCAAACGCCAGCATTTACCCCTCCGGCTGTCCCACCTGAGCGCAAGGGACCGATCATGTCACTGGCAGTCACCTGCGTGGCAGGCAACCACTGCTTCCAAGTTCTGTGCTAAAACTACGGACCGTATTGGTCAAAGACAGTAATCTCTCATATTATGTTACCCAAGGTACTGACTGCATCGGTAATTGGTTTTCGCATCAGCCGACACCTACGTAGTAGAAGCATCGAAAAGGGTGTTTCGATTCGAGTCAATTGGCCGACTGACCGGTGACATGACGATAGGTAGACGCTCTCGCCTTCGTCGTGCGCCTGAGTCATCTATGTAGATCAACACGCGCAAGTTAAATCCTGTGCTGCCTCCAAACTCAAGTTGAGGCGTCGCTTCACCCACTGCCCCATTTACCCATCCACGGGCTCCAGCTTTGGTAGGTAATACACCAGAGTGACCCGGATACCGAGAAATCGTCTTACTGAACCTCCACACTAGTCGCGCAAGGATTCACGATGCCGCGGCCGCGCAGAGACCGCGTCACGCCTAATACTCTGTAGATACCATGCAAATAGTCCGGGCAGAGATTACTTGGACTGGCTCATGGCCATTCATGTTAATCTGCACGACGGGCGGGTAGATGAATTACATAGACGTACCCCGGAAAACCTTTGTTGATTGTTCTCGTCTTCTATGACAAACAGCCTTTGAGATTCACTGGTAGAACGGATGAATTAACCACAGCACTCTTAGTATTAGCCTGTCTCGATGCTCATTCCCTCACGCGCGTTACTTCTCAAGTCCCAACACGTAAAGCGGTCGAGCATTGGAGCGAGTGCTTTTGGTAGCTTTTGCCTAACCCGCATTTAGATAGAAATTTCCGCAGACGGGGAACACTGGGCTGAATCTTGGATGGGCATAGTCTAAAGGGAAAGGTAAGGTACCTATTCCGCATATGCAGGACTTGCCTTCAGTGCCTTGCGTATGACCACAGTGGGCCCTCAGGAGGCGCTAGACGATAGATACGTACTCTTCCCTACCGGGTGTTTGAGAGAAAAAGATGGGGTGGCGTCAGACTTGATGCAAGATTTCCAGCCAATCAAAAATGAGCCAACTATCCGTTTTGACAACAAAGCACAAAAAACCCGCCCAACTACGCCTGCCTTGCAAAGCAATCGCGCCTACCAAAACGGCATTTTTCCAAAAAAGAACCCACGCCTGCCACGCTCACACCTGGCACTTCCCCTCCACCCGATCAAAACCAGGAAGGTGCGCACAGGCCACCCTCCATTTGGCGCACAATCACTCCCCTCTGCACGCGTTCCGTCTCCCTACCTATTTATTCCCCTCCACCCGTCACCCACTCCTCATCCTTCTCTTCTACATCCACTCACAACACATCCACATCAACCAACAGGTACATCATCACCAACAAACAAACCCATCAACTCCATCATCACACACAACAGCAGCAATGGCCCGCACCAAGCAGAGTAAGCCATTATTCCCTTGCGACATCTTCAGTCAAGTCTTTCTTTACTGACTTATCTCCACAGCCGCCCGTAAGTCCACTGGTGGCAAGGCTCCCCGCAAGCAGCTCGCCTCCAAGGCCGCCCGCAAGAGCGCCCCCTCCACCGGAGGTGTCAAGAAGCCTCACCGCTACAAGCCTGGTACCGTCGCTCTCCGTGAGATTCGTCGCTACCAGAAGTCCACCGAGCTTCTGATCCGCAAGCTCCCTTTCCAGCGTCTGGTAAGTTGAGATTCGCACAACGCGCCTCTCGATTCGCATCGTCTAACACTACCTTCCCAGGTTCGTGAGATCGCCCAGGACTTCAAGTCCGATCTTCGCTTCCAGTCCTCCGCCATTGGCGCTCTTCAGGAGTCCGTCGAGTCTTACCTCGTCTCCCTCTTCGAGGACACCAACCTGTGCGCCATCCACGCCAAGCGTGTCACCATCCAGTCCAAGGACATCCAGCTCGCCCGCCGCCTCCGCGGTGAGCGCAACTAAGCGACTGTCTTTTGATTTTCTCTTTTCACATGGGTGGCTCATGACTCGCGCGTTTGGGAATGCTTGACGAAGGGACCGTCTTGGTTTTGGGGGTAATCTGGCGTTTAACGATGCGTTCTTCAGAATAACGCAAGGGTTGTACATTAAACCAGCAGTAAAGGATGACTGCATGCAATGGCAAACATTATGAACTACTCTACATCGCCCCGCATAGACAACGTGAGCATCCGCTTGAATAGCCGCATCATCGCCGCAAGTGTCAGCACGCGCATTTTATCATGTATGCCCCGCCATAACGCGATTAAAACGACTCGCGAGACTAGCAACAATAAAACTCGAGGGTGCGACGCGTACAAAGCGGTCAGCATACTGGCAGACGCGTTCTCCCCGCCGCAGTCAACGAAAGCCCTATTATTATGACGCTGTAGTGTCTCAATAGACAAGAACTCGTTTTTGAAGGTGGACAATAGTAACTAACAATAGCACGTATGCTGGTGATGTTTCTATAAATGCATCCCGTCTTGACTAAGTCCCTGTACATGTTTTCCCTCCCCTCAAGCACCTCTTGTCATTGTTGTCTGCTAGATTGAGTATATATAGATCTTTTGATCGCGGTCCCGCCTCTGCGACCTTTGTTGAAGCTGCTTGGCGGAGATGTTGCGTAAATGGAAAGGGGGGAAACGCGGTGTACAACGTTGCGAGGAGAGCGGACCGCTCAGGCAGCCATCGTACCGGCAGGACCTTATTGTTTCCCAAGTCCGATCACGCTTCTCCTAAAAAGTAGGCTGCTCTTGCAGTTTTAGATCTGCTGGCATGAAGAGGCCGTTGCGTTGCCGGTAGACCATGGCCAGACTTTCTCCGTCCACTGTTCGGGTACGGCCAAGCTGACTCAGATTGCATGTACCACATCGGAGTCATATTTCAGTAAGCAACAGCTTACTTTGCAGTGACTTCAGAGGCGTTCAACGTTGATGGATGAAGGTATAGCTCGCAAAAGAGGTGGGCGAGAAGAACAATTCTCTTAGATCAAATAGTCTGGAACAAATTCTCGATAGGTACGACCAGCCTATTTTTTCAGGGCGAGACTTTGAGTGCACTTGATTGTTAGGTTATTCACAAGTAATGATCACAGCCATATCAACGACGAGTGAAGCTGAGCGAGAACGCCTTAGCTGTCCGATATGACCTACGGGCTCAACAAAACAAAAAGGCAAGTCTCCTTGGTATTCTATTCTTCTGTGACAATCTTTCGTTAATTACTGGCGAGGATCTCTGATTACATGTTTTTCGCGACAGCCCAAAAGTTATCCATCTTGGCTCGGGCCAACGCGTCCCTGGCTTCGGCATCAGATTCGCAGACCTTGCTTCCCCACTTGCGATAGGCCCTCGTCTTTTCTTCGCCTTCAAACACCAGCTTACACTCATTGTGGGACATGTCCTTCAAATCGCCGCTCTCGTTTTCCGCTACCAGCCATTCGCGAAGCTGTTGTTGGGTCTTCCCCTCTTGCGAATGTGCATTTTCAGTCCAGTTAATCCGCTCGAGCATGAGCTTCTTGTATTTGCGTATGCTGTGCTCGCCGCCTTCAACAATGACAAGGTTCATCCTTGGGTGCATGATGCAAATACCCGTGAGAGCATGCTGTTCGGCATTCTTTTGGATCCTGAATCTATTCCGGCCGTTGGCGAGACTGTCAATCTTGAACACCAAGATATGGATGCCTTTCGCAGCATCCTTTTCTTGGTTCGTAGCAAGTTTGACGTGCTTCTCTTCCTTCGTGAGCTTGCGTTCTTCGTTGGCCTCCAAGTGATTCTGCTGGCGCTCAGCGATCTGCCTGTTGACGAGATTTTCCACAGCCGTAGGATCCTTCACTGCAGAGTCTGCGTAAACACGCATCATGTTGCTCTTCTTGACTTTGGGGGGTGGAGCTGGCACTAGTCCAAGTCTGATCTTTGCTTGCTGCTCCTTGAGTTCGGCCATCCTTCTCTGCCTCCTGGTCTTGGCCATTTCTTTCGGTGTTAGGTACATCGGCTTTAGGGCTGGGGTGTTCTTCTCCTGCGGCGGTTCCAACGCGACGGGGTGCTGTACATATTCCGTGATGATGGTATCTTCTTTGATCTTCAGTTTGGATTCGTCGTCGATACAGTCGTAAGAGGTCCCGTCGACCAGTCCACCGTCGAACCATTCTATGTCCGGAGGAGGGTCGACGACAAGATTCTTCTCCAACTCCAATTCATCTTCGATGCCGGCTTTCCTCGTTTGCGCCGCGATTCTCTTCTTCATCTCCTCGAGGGCAGCTTGTCGCCGCAGCGCCGCGGCTTGCTGGATGAACTTGCCCTTGGCATGGAAATTTAGCGACCGAGCCTGACGTTGTCTTCCACTTGCGGGCTGTGCTGCCTGCTGGTCGTTGAAATACGGGTTGGATAGCGGCGCATCGCGGCCTCGCCCAGTAGCATCTGGGGCTTTGAATCCAGTCGAGAACTTCGAGTCAGAGTGTAGTCGACTGCCGGATGGCTTTCCATCATTGGGTCTAGCTGGTGCCTTTGCCTGACCGAGACTCTCGAGTACTGGGTGTAATCCGACGTTAAGTCCTCCTTTAGCCTTGGAGACGCCGACTGCTGCAGCGACTCTGGCTTTGAGCGCAGCCATCTTATCGGCGGCCGATTCAGGTTTCGAAACCCGGGAGTTGGGGTCGTGACGAGGCCCAAGGCCTAACGAGTCTGACTGTCGATCCATTATGACCAGGCTGATATGCTGCCACTTTTCTCCACGACTGATCGTATGAACCAGATTATGGGATGCACGTCTTTCCGGAGATACACGTGCTTCGTCGGGCGGATGTCAGGTAAGCCTGGGCGCTCTCTCGTTCTGAGCCGGTCGTCTTCGCGGAGTTCGCTGATTGTGTATCGCGGTCGGAAGGGTAAATCATTCGCAGTGATCCCAAGGCAAAGAGGATGGGTAGTAGAGGTCCGTAAGAGCTTTCGGTAGTGGCCCCGTTGCACGGTTGATGGAGGTTGTGGTTGAGAAATACGGAGTGTCTCTTGAGAGTTGGAGGGAGACGCTCCTACTGTGGGCTCTGGTCAAGAGAGTGGCTACGTGAATATCCAGTTAACACTGTAACCTCGATGTTATCGTAGTGCCCGTTGTGAGGTAAACACAGGCACACAGGCTAATGTGCAGCACGCAGGTACGTAGGTGGTAAACACTAGGTATGCCATGTACAGTACCTTACCTACCTAGCCTAATCGCAACCTGGAAGGTCCCGTTCCTTCAGGTCATTTTGCGATGCCTTGCTGCCTTGCGCCGAAAGCACAGTGGCAGACAAAAAAACAGTGGAGGACCCACCACACAGAGGCGGGTCTCCGTTCTGCCGACCACCACCGCCCAAAAAAAAAAGTTCCCCTCGGTCTCCCACCGAGGGTTGCTGCTCTGGACCATCCGCCCCGGTTGTATTGCATTTGCGATCGAGCGAGTGCCTCTTTGAAGCGGAAGCTGTATGGAAAATTTGCTTTGGACACCACACCTTCTGCCGTTCCGACCCAGATTGGTGCCAGGCTATTACCTGACGCCTCAACGGCAACATGAACATCTCTCAACCCGTTTCGTCGTCTGTCGAGACGGTCGAATTCACATTCCTCACCGAGGAAGAAATCAGAGCAATCTCGGTCAAGCGCATTGAGAACGACAGCACATTCGACAACCTTCTGAATCCCGTTCCTGGTGGTCTCTATGATCCTGCTCTTGGATCATGGGGCGATGCTCTGTATGAAATGCCCCGAATATCCCTTGTCCTTTGCTCAATTGACTTACACGTCTCTTCACAGCTGTGCAACCTGTAACTTGAACCAGTCTTCATGCCCGGGCCACGCCGGCCACATCGAGCTCCCCGTGCCGGTATACCATCCTGTATTTCTTGACCAGGTTCTCCGTCTTCTGAGGTCGCAATGTGTCTACTGCAAAGGTTTCCGCATGCGCCATCGCGAAATCAATCGATACTCCTGCAAACTTCGATTGCTGCAATATGGCCTCTTGCACGAGGCTCACTTGGTTGATGCTATTGGAGAAGAGCTTAAGGGCCTTGCACTCCCGGGTGTGCCCACGGATTACGAGAGCGAGGCAGAAGAAGAGGGCACCTCCACGGTCGACAACATCATTGGGGCCCGAGAGGCATACGTTCGCCAATCTCTCAAATCACACAGGCTCAATCTGGGCGAGGTCAGGAAGGGCAAGCACGAAGGTGCTATCGAAATGAGGAGAGAGCTCATCAAGGACTTCCTGACACAAATCACCAAGTCCAAACGATGCGACAACTGTGGCGGTATATCGCCTACCTACCGAAAGGACCGCTTTGTCAAGATATTCGAAAAGGCCCTTAGCGAGAAGGATATGGGTCAAATGGCACAGAAAAACCTACACCTCAAGGACTCCATGGCGACAGCAGCTCACCAGCGCAAGTCGAAGCGCGGCAACACCGACACCGACGAAGGTGTTGCCGACGTTGATACAAACTCATCGAGCGAGGAAAACGACGTTGACATGCGTGATGCTCATGACGACGACCTCGAGAAGGAGGAGGCAGAGTCTAGAGTTCATGCCGTCCGTCAAATCCCCGGTCAGCAGCGATACCTTAGTGCAATGGAAGTTCGCGCACGTCTGAGGGAGTTATTCGACAAGGAACAAGACATTATGTCCCTCGTCTACAACTCGAAGCCAGTGACCAAGAAGGCAGCTAAAGTTTCTGCCGACATGTTCTTCATCCGAACCATCCTTGTTCCCCCCAACAAGTTCCGACCCGAAGCTCGAACTGGCGATTCCCAGATTTCTGAGGCCCAGCAGAATTCCCTCTACAAGATGATCATGCGAAACTGCGGTAGCATTGCGAGAATACACCAAAGCGTGGGTGGCACAGACCAGTACGGGAGAGCAAGAGACATCAACGATTTGCACCAAGTATGGACGGAATTGCAAGAGTCTGTCAACTCTCTGATCGACAAGAGCAAAA